CTTCTTCATCTCCTGTGAAAACTGATGTGGAATGTGTTTGATGATAGTTCCACTGAAGCACTTGAAGTCAGGGACTTTATCAACTAGTACTCTTGCAGCCAATGGGATGAAATCTTGTAGTAGTTTATTGTTGTCTTCAGGTGAGGGAAGGAACTCTGAATTTTCAACCTCTAAAATAGGTTTAATCTGTGTGGCATTGTCAGGGCACTTGGAAGACACCCGATCTTGAATGGCATTCATGGCAAACCAATGTATGCTTCTGTTCTGTTTATCACTAGACATATGTTTCACCTTAACATACATATCTAAATTGTCACCTATAATTTGGTATTTTGGAGGCTCATTGGAATTCTGATGAGATTTGAGAATGCCGACATCTATTTTGTCCAATTTGTTTAATTCATCCACAGTTTCATGATCAAAGACAAAGTCATTGAATGTCTTTAGATCACCTTCAGAAAATCCACTTGTTATCAGATGGTCAGAGACAGGGCAATTCCCAGCATTAGATAGTGCTTTAATGCTCTCACTTTGGCTGTATTGCTTGTAATCATCAAGGAAGTCTTCCATATTTGCTAGATCACTGTTTGTTGATTGGCTGTTCTCATTACAACATCCTATCGATGAATCAGCTGTAGGGAATGATAGATCCAGACTACTAATATTTATTGTCTGAAACCCCTCTGGAATTTGCTCTTGCTTTTGAACTTCTTGTGTAGTTAAATACTCATCGACATGGTCAAGCATCTCATTTATCAGGTGATGGTCCTCTAGCTCACGTTTCCAGGTCTTTACCTCAGAATCAAAATTCTTTCCCATTTCATCTAGTTTCTTTAAGGTGCTGTTATGGCTTACAGATATCCCCCAACGGTTTGCACGAACAAAACCCTAAGATTAAAAAAATGAATTTAACCTAAGTAATCCTATGAGCAACGTGAAGTTAAGGTATATATCCTTTATCATTCCCTCCCCACTCCACATTCCCAACGTTTTGGATTGCATCCTTTTTCTTGAACTCCGTTAATTAATAGCACTCTGTTACATAGTATCTGTTACATTACAAGCACAACTGGAATATAGACATTACACATGTAAAGGAAAAATATATTTGACTGTGTGCCAAACTTTAAATGTACCTGTTTTTTAGCTCCACCATGCCATAAGACACCCAATGAAAACCTGAAAGCAAGAGCAGACATCTGGGGACATCTCTGCTTCAAAAGAATAGAAGCTGCAAAGACGATAGGTGCTGCACTGCCACTCATCTCATCRCCATTTCCATCTCCTTTTGTTTTCCTCTTTTTTCTAAGGCTTAAACTGGAACTGCACATGCATCCATACAATGTAGGTGCTCTTGTTGCTAATTCTTCTTCGCATTTTCTTTCAGAAAATGCGACCAAATCTTCTGCCTTCGTTTTTTTCAAAATGGATGGTTGTTTGTCGCTGCATAAGGAGTTGCATTCTTTATCGATATCACAGTATAGCTTCTGTAATATTTCATCTTTTAGGGATGAGTGTTTCCAAAGAGAATTTGCTACTCCACGGTATTCTTGGTGAGCAACCTGTCTTATAATGGTGGCATCTAACTCTTCTTTAATAACGTTTTTTACTCTGCCGGATGGGTAATCAATGTGGACCTAGTTAATGAATTCAAAAGAKGATATGTCAATACTTTAAATTGAGCCTCCTTTTGTTATGATTGTGGAAACGATCGAGACAACAATCGACAAAAAACTTATCGCGAATAGGAATTTATCGCTAATTTCCCTATTCTTTCTTTCGAAAATATATTCTTTAAATAAATCTTAGAGAGAGGTAAAACGTAACCATAGAAAAAAATATTAAAGAACAATCTAAGATATTAAAATATCTCACCTCCGTGCGAGCATTGCCTTTAGCTTTCCGGTCTCTCGGGTCCAACAAAACTTCACTGTCCAAACCTTGGAAAGGGTTATCCGCAAAAGAGTCTCGATGATCTGAAAGTAGTTTTCTTTTGCTTCTTAACTGGCTGTTAGCGCAGGCCTTTTTCCGGACATGGCAGTCGTTAAATTTCTGTGAATGAGGATCAGCTGTTGTAGTGGGGGAATCCTTAGCACATCTCTTCTTGCGAACTAAATCCAAGCGGTTTATTGTTTCCTTGTAGTTTTCCCTAAATGTTAGTATATCATTTTCTTGTTCTAAAATCTTGTGGTATTTCAAAACAGTCCTGTAGCATTTTTGGCAC